AAAGTATCGGAAAAATTATTTTCAAAATGAATTTAAAAGGATAATATTGTTGAGCGCTAATTGATTGCAATAAAATATACGAAAAATAAGGAAATGAAATGGAATTATTTAAATGGCTTAAAATGAAATGTAATTAATGAAATTTTAATTAATAAATTAACTCAAGTATTGTCTAGATCCTTCTGAAGTTTGAAGATAAATTAATACAAGTACTGTCTATATCCTTTCGAAATTTGAAAATTTATCTTATATTAAAATTTTAAACAATGATCGAAACAATGATCCATTTCGGTAATTTGTAATAGTTCGTTCAATTGAACTATTTATAAATTGTTCAATAACTGAAAATTATGTTGCACATGCATATATTGCAGACGTACATGCACATGCAAAAATTATAGTGCATATATTGCATATCGGTATAATTTTGATAACAGTATAATATAAGAAAATTGTCATAATTAATTTTAAAAAAATTTTAATGAAAAAAGTTCTTAGCTTAATTATTATCGAAATTTTGAAATTATACAAATAAATCAAAAAGTTTAAATATAAAAATTTAATTATTCTAATATCATGATATTGAAATATGAAGAATTGTTACAAGAAATATTCATTAACAGTATTTTACTCTCTAATGAGAAATCTTAAATAGTAACTAAACTTCAACTAAGCTAATAGAGCCCTAAAAACATTGTTTAAGAAATTGAAACTAAGCTAATAAAGCCCTAAAAACATTATTTAAAAAATTAATGGGAATATTTTTATTCTTCCAAACGTTTAAATAATCTTTATAAATATTTAATTATTTGCATTCAATAAAGAATTTTGAAAAAAAAATCATTTAAAAAAATTTATCAAAATACTATTATTTTGTTTGATACAACAATTCTTATCAATAGTTTGTTGTTTAAATTTTTTGCTATCAAATTTTTTATCAAATGGTTTTAAGTTTGAACGAGTTTCTTGTTTTAATTATATAATTAATAGGTTGTTGTTTAAACTTCTTCTACAAATTTTATTACCCGATGATTTCACAGGTTCAGACGAGTTTTTCTTCCAATCATATAATTAATAGTTTGTTGTTTAAACTTTTTTTTCCTGCAAAATTTATTATCTATGGTTTTAAATTTGAAAATAAATTTTAGAATTATACATCAATATAATCATATATCTATATTTAGATATATAGATGGATAAAAGACTGATTAATTACATATGGTTTCAAATTTGGATGAATTTTTGTTAGAACGTTTTTCTGCAAATGCATGCATCGATATAATCATAGAACTTTTTCTGCAAATGTATACATCGATATAATCATATATCTATATATATTGATATATAGATGAATAAAAGATTGAAAAGTGATTGATCAACAAATTCTGATAGCTTATAGATAAAAAATAACCTATAAAATACTTTCTTGAAAGAAATAAAAAGTTGCTTAGTTAATAACAACAACAACAACAGCAACAACGATAACAACGGTAACAAAAATGAATCTTCCATGGATGAAACAAAAAGTGTTGCAATATAATATTAAGTAATTTTTAATTTCAAATCAAAAAAAATTTGATAAAAAAAGATTATCGAATTTTTACAATATATTGATCATTATATTGATTATTTTATAGTATATTATCTTAAATTTTATTATTAGTACGTACCAATATGAATTACTAATTAGTGCTAATGAAGAGAAGACAAAAATAATGGAAATAAAAATTATCTTACTTTTACCTCATTATCTAGATGCTGGTTGGTAAAATAAAAGTTGTTGCTAATTTGCATTAAACTATAAAATAATCACTCATTAATTAGCAGTAGTGTGAGATTAAGAAAAATTGATAATCAAAAAGATGTCGAAATTAAATTTATCTCTAAAATACAAAAGATGTCAAAATTAATCTTTACTTTGCACAACAATTTATTTGATACTAATTAATAATTTCTATTGACCAAAAAATAAATTATATAATGATCGGTAGAAATTGCTCACTACATAATTTATTTTTAGATTATTATTATTATCATTGGTTTGTTATCTTTTACTAATTTCTCTTTTGTTTACGTATTTTTTATATATTTGCTAATTTTTGAATTATATAATTTTTCCGAAGGGTGCAAATATTTTAGTAATCAAAAATTTAATTTTACTTTAATATCGAAATTGAAATGTCACCGAAAAATACTTTTCCAATTAATTGAATATTAATTTTGAAAATAGTTCAATTACAAAATCCAAGTATTTTTTATTTCTTTACCACATAATTTTACCACATAACGATTACTATCTTTCTTTTTGCACTTGAAGAAGTACTTTAAAAAATTTCAAATTAAAATTGTGCTTTTGTTTTAAGTACTGAATAATCAATGATGGTGATAACTGGTACAAAATAAACATGAACATAGTTGAATAAAACATATCATTGCTAAATAACACTGACAGAATTTGGCTTTAATGTCATGTTGATTGATTTGAACTCTTCTTTTTACTTCATTGCAAAAATTAGCAACTTGTATTTTTTGTATGAAAATTGCTATAGTGCAAAAAGGTGATGGAATAAATGAAGGTGTAAAATACGTACAATTATAAAAGTGTAAAATATGTAACAATTATCAATAATCAAAGAAGAAATCATATTTTGCTTTGAACAGAATGTCTGATTTCGCCGAATCTTAAGAGATGTAAAATCTTGATTTCTTAGAATCTTAGCAAATATAGCATCTGATTTCACAGAATCTTAGCAAATATAGTATTTGATTTTTTGGAATTTACATGTTTGCAGACTTTTTACTAGATTCTATTTTATTTTCACAAACATCCTCCTACTTGCTATCATTTAATTCCGTTTCTTTTGCAACAGTTTTCATAAAATCCAGATTATCTTTTTTAAACTTTGTTTTGCAGACACCATCACAGATGCTGCAGATGAGATTTCCAATTTTCTTTAAGATTACTAAACTTTTCTATCGTATCACCAAATTACTACATATTTTGCGTATATCTGAAAAACAAAATATCGCATATCGAGTTTTGCATTATTTTTTTAAGTCTAACTTCGAATAATTATAAAAAATCTAATTTTAGGCATTCTTTCTTGAAAATCTAATTAATTTTGTAAAGATGAGTAGTTTGAGAAGAGTAACCATGACAAGACTGTCAAGATATAGTACCAGATTGTCAAGATATGGTACCAGATTGTTAAGATATGGTACCAATTGATCTTAAAGCTAACTTCTGGTAGCTTTTTTTTTCCACAAAATGTCCACATCATTGATGTATGCTTAAATTATTAGTGTCATTTTACTTAGCCAATTTTGTATGGTTTAATTTGAACATATTATATCTATGTACTCATTAATTAATTTGCTATCAAATTACTACATGGAAATTCTGAATGTTGAGTGGAATGATAGACGAAAATTAAGTTATTTTGAGATAATTCCTTAGGATAATTTGAGTTCAAACTTTTTGCTTGATAGTTAACTTATGAAATTTCAATTAATATCAAATAATGTACTCCAAGATTGCTGCTACTAAACATGAAATTCGTTATTACAACCTGTATCAAAAGTAGATAAATAGTAATCCAGATACTAAAAAACTATTAGATTAAGCTTGCAAATTTTCAGCTTAACCGAATACCAATATAACCTAAGAAAATATTCAATTAAAAAACTCAGCATATTTATATTTCAATCATTTAAAATATTGAATATTAGTAATTTCTAATGGATATGTGATATTCTGGTATCCAATAATAAATTCCGCTGTAAATTTTAACTCATTACCAGATGAATTTGATATTTTTATTAAAATCAATCCAATTAATGTTGGAGAACTATTGGGAAGATAATAAATGAAAATTACAGCTAAGCTGAACTTCAATGTTAAAAAAAACATCGCTCAATGACTGCAACTTGTTTAAAAAGCATTTCGATCATTCTTGCTGGACAAATCATATTTGAAGCAAAACATATCGTTGGAAAAATTCGTAGAATATAATTGTAGGCTCAAAATGGTAGCAGAAATATCTCACAGGTCAAAGAAATAAGGCATACAATAATTTTCTTGATTTTAACAAGTACCAACGTATCGCAAACATTCCAAATGTAGAATAATCTATACTCCAGTATTTTACTTTTAAAGTTTAGTTTGAAACAACTTTTAAATTTAAATTTATAAATGGAGCATAATCGGCTTCCAAATGTTAAATTTAGATATTTTGAAATAAAAATTGCTCTTTATTAAGAGAATAGAATTGTATTTTACCAATAAGTCATTCATTTAGGTGATAAATATAAATAACTGACCAATAAATTCGGCAATAACGGTCATCTAAGGAAAGGGTGAAGCTGTGGCGCTAAGCGTCACTCCAACCCATAATCAAATACAAATTACAATTTCAATGCAGTCTTATTAGGTCTTATCAAACAAACAAGCATGACTTAGAAGTAGCAAAAGAATGCAACAAAAGAATGTCTTAACAAATACAAAAAGTAACAATATATTTTTTATATAAAAACCGCTACAATGTAGAAGGCGAAGGAATAGATTAGAGTGTAAAACACGTAGAATTATCATTTAAAAAAAAGCAATTCAAGCGAAGAAATCGATACGATCCATTCTTTCCATTGACTGTTTAACATTCATGCTCTTTAATTTCAATCAACGACCCGAATTAGGAAAAAACGGGCCTTTGTGAATATCAAAATTATGGCTCATAGATATTTATTTAGACCTTGAAATAATGAAAGAATTACACATTGATCATTGGACATCGCACATATGGAAAAACTTGGAAAAGATTTATGAAATATGATTCGAATTTAAATAAAGACCTCATTGCAATATTAACACTTTTCGAAGAAAAAAATTTACCTATATATGTATAATACAAGTACATAAAATTCATGCTTTTGGTACAAATTTTAAAAATATGCAACACAGCTATCAAACATATCACCACTTCATTGAAAAGTTTCACCTAATCCTAGGTTGGACTAGCAGGAGAATCAGTAGCAATTTGAACGCTCTCAGGTTTCACCGAAGGTATTGGATCTTCAGGTGGTGATTTTTGTTGATCGGTACTTGCTACGGCTTCCATGCTTCTAAGACAATCAATTCCCTCCACACTACATTTTTCTTCTGTTGCAGAATGATCGCCCTGCGGCTGTGATTTAGCATCAATTAGCGGATTTTCAACACTGACAGTATGCTGGTCACTTCGTTCTCGATCGTCGCTTCTTGACCGCCTTTCAAAATGTTCCTCCTGATCGCATTCATGTGCAGTACGTGGGCTGCCACGTCTACGACGATCAGGTGAATATGGCCGTCTTTCGAATGGACTTACCGATCTTGACCTGAAGAAAAACTTCATTTGGTATAAAAAAATCAACGAAGCTCTCTTGTAGGAATAATTGTTACTTTTTCCACAGTTCGGTTCTTGCTTACGAAATTGAAGGAAGTTTAGTAATCAGTACAAAAATTCGGAAATAACGACCTTGATCGGCTCCTGCTTCTTGATCTCGACGAACTCTTCCTGCGTCGCCTCCCATAACGATCATATACACGTCGATCGTAGTCATATTCTCGTTCCCTATCGCGATCTCTTTCTCTCTCTCGATCATAAAATCCTCTACGACCAAAGGAAGGGCCACCACGCCCACGTCTGAAATCGAGACATAAATATTTAGCTCATCGCAATTTATATGAATCATTAAATATGACTCCAACAGTTCGCTAAATAACTTGTCCAAAATTGAAGTTATTTCTATAATTACTAGACAATACTCTTGTATACTCTTTAATTTTGAAACCCACTTCCATTCTCAACATTTTAACGCATCACTAGCATTTGCACCCGTGTAGCAACAACATACAATGTCTGTCCTACCTGTATCCACCATCCGTTCCACCTCGACGTGGACCACCCCTAAATGATTGACCACCGCGTCTAAAGCTTCGTCCTCGTTCATCGCCGTAGCCATATCCTTGAGTACCTGCAGTTGGCTCATCACCATGTGCAAATCTGCATCGTGCTCCGTAACTACACGTACCCGACTGATAAAATGTGCATTGTTTGACTCCTGTAAAAAAATAAAAAAAAACGTTTATAAAATGGAAAGGCGATAAATACTAATGACGAATTCTCTTATTAATTCTCTCATGTTTCATCTGTATGTTGTAAGATGTTGGTCATTAATATCTGGAAGGATTCAGGAATTTCAAAAACTAATACAAATAAAAAGCTTACCAGGACGGCCGTAAATACCATAAGATGGCGCTTCAGATGTAGATGGACCACTTTGAGTAGTCAAGTCTACACCTATTGTTGGAGTAACTCCAGCCGGAACAGGACCGTTCAAAAAAGGTTGCTGTTGCTGGACTGGAAGTATATATTGACCAGCCGATAACACAGGTGGCATCGGAAGTCTAAAAAAAGACCTAAGATGTTAAATGGCCAAAAATTCCTTGATTATTTGCCTTAAACACGGAATTTCAAATTCTGTATATTTGAAAATTCCTAAAGAAAACAATTTTATAATTCGGTTAACTAAATCTAAAAGGAAAAAAATGTAATACCCGTGGGCAAAACGGGGTGGTGGTAATGACATATTCGGAATGTTTGAAACGCCAGAGTGTGCTGTTAATTGAGCATACGTTGGAGTTGTGGCTACAGTGACTTGCAATGCGGAAGGAGCTGACGTTGCTGTTGTACTAGCAATAGTAGCAGTAGTTGAAGACACTTTATTGAGTATGTTTGCTAAGTCTGAACTTGAACCAACAAGGCCTTTCTTTTTCAATTCAGTCATCAATTTCTGCAAAAATTTCATTAGCTGGATCTGCACATGCTTCCTAATAGTTAAGCAATATCATCTTGAATATCAACGAAAACAAAAAACAAACAATCGAGATTTAAACATTAACAATTCGAGAATACTTAAAATTGCAATACACATGTCACAAATTAAATAAAGGTGACCACGCACTTGGACATCTATTTCTTTTCCGTCACTTTGATTGTGGCCTGCTGAAGGTCCAGTTGCGGTAGCGGCATTTGCGAAAACTTGAGCAATATCCTAAAAAACTTCAAATTTTAAAACATTGAAATGCTGAGGTCTTTATCTGAAATCTTTGTAACTTCGAATTAGATTTTACTAAATTGAGTTCAGAAAAGTACTTGATTAAGATCTTCATCATCGGCTTCAGATTCTAAGGGTATTTCGGTTGGTGGTAAAATAGCACCAGTCAACAACTCGGGTTCAGCATCCATCAATTCGGCCGGCCTGCAAAATGTTTTGCGATACTTTTTAATCAAAAATTGAAAAACTATATATCTAACTCTTCCTATGTTTTGTATAATAACGGAATGAAACTTACAAAGAGGGATCATAAAATGGCATCATAATAGTCTTCTGTCTTTCTTCCTCGATTTTTTTCGCTTCACTTTGTGAACCTCGACGTTCAAAAAATACAGCATCCGTAAGCGGCATCAGTTTCCACTGAAAATTTCTGTCACATCAACTAATAAGTTGACCTTCATTCGTAACACACTAGTTTCAAAGCGGTTTAGAGTTCCGTTAAAATAAATATTTATTATCGATTTTGAAGTTTAAAATATACAAAGTAGATGTTATTGTCAGCGATAATACGGTTTGGGCAAAAACGATCGTTCAATAATATTTCTAATACGTATTAACAGCTACACACTCATTCTCACAAATAACGAGAACTATACAACTCCGGCAATTTTGAAACTTCCGAGACTGCAAGGTTTTTTTCAATATCTGAAAGTACTAGAAATCTAAGTAATCTTTAAATGTTTTTGAAGATCTAATCTTTAAGCCTTCGAAATCATGTTCGAAAATTAGAAAGCATCAAAAATTAGCTGTACCGGAATGTATGTTATTCCTTCCGAACGACCAGAATTGAAGCCAAATTCAGTTATATGGAGGCTGCGTTGCTCTTTCATAAATGTTCGTTCACGTTGCATTTCTAGATGTTTCATGTCTTCAGATGATAATTTACTGACATTCACTGAAATTTGAACTTTAAATTATTACTCAATCTGATTAATCACAAGCATTAAAAACAAATACACTAATGAAATGAAAATCATTACGAATTAAAATTCTGTCCCTGTTAAGAAACTAAATCTCCCGAATTTTTTATCAATTAGAGTACAAATCGTAACAATTATGTAATACAAATGACTTTGTTCTATAAACTTGAAAGACAATAATAATGAAAAAGAAACTAACATCTTTCACCCTCTTCTACCTCAAAATATCGAATTTCAACAAGTTCCTGTCCACTTTCATCAGCAAAACGTATCTTTCTATTACCAATCGGTATAATGTCTGGTTCTTCTACCATTAATTCTTTTTTTTCATCAGCTGATCCCTCGTCCTGTTTCTCTTTATTAAGTGATCTTGAAGTATCGCTATATAACCCTTCCTAAAAAAATTGCTCTTGAATGATTTTCCGAAGGAAGTCTTCCCCAAAAACCAATCAAAAAATCAAAAAACTTCGCACATAACCGAAAATTATTATCTTAAGTTGGCTAATCAACTTTTCCAAACTATAAAGACTAGCTCCAGAGGATTTTGCTAAAAGTTTTAGCAAAGTCCTCTGGAGCTAGTCCTTTTTGGAAAAGTTGATCTGCCAACTTAATATAATAATTTTGCAAATATTTTGCAAGATATGCAACCACTATCTCCACTAACTTCCATATTGTTATGAAAAGTTGGCCTTCAGACTTGACAACAACAACAAAAGGGATTATTTCATAAACACTCTAAACATAGAAGTAAATAATATATGTATATAAGTAGAATCAACACCAATCATTATTAAGTTTATTGCGGTAGAACTAGATGACTCAAACATTCTTGTTTGTTTCATAATAGAAGCTGTTGAGTTTAATCCATCCTATTTAAATCTGAAATTAAACATTCAGAGATAAAGAAGAATAACCAACCATAACGCTCGGTATAACAGACGTCGACGGTTTCAAATTTAACGTCGATCGTTTTTTTGCTTGCTTTGGAAGCGCTTTCTTATGCCCTGGATCCATCAGAGCATCCATAAATGTGTTGCTCATCATAACTCCTATAAATCATTAAGCTTAGGTCAAGTAAGAAACATTATTATAAATGATATATTAAAAATGACATACTAGAACTTCATAAAAATTGCAGCATTAAAAAAGAATTCGAGTAATGAACATACTCTTTCAGCTGAAATGCAAAGATTACAAATTAGTTAATCAGGATTTTCTGTATAAAGATTAAAGTGCTAAAGTGTAGGATTTACTTGCAGGAGCACTTGATCCAGACTTTTTCTCAGCAAGCGGTGCGGACGAGACTGGAGGTGAAGTATTGACTGGCAATACTTTTGGAATGCTTGGTGAAACAGCTATAACGGAAAAAGCTAAGAAATTATCAAACATCAGAAAGAAATACGATTAAATTAACTTCTCATACTATAAATAGTAATTGGAGATGTACAAAGAATAACTTACATACTAGAAAAGAGCGATTATATAAATTAGTCCGCATGGACACCAATACATAACTAGTGAAAATCATAAAATGAAGACGTACCGGTGCGCTTCTTGGCATCCAGTAATGCCTTACTTGGCAAACCTTTCTTTTTGGATGCTACCGTCATGCTCGAGCCACTTTTACCTGTCGCAAGTTCATCGTCACCTTCCAATCCTAAAACAAGGGATATACACTTGTTGTGACTACTAGTTAGCTAGTGCAAAGGTGACCGATGATTATACAAGCTTGCCGCAAAAAACCGCATACACAATGCATTTTACAACAGACACGGATTGCCAAGAGTAGAGGACAAATGTCACATCCGAATCTTTGAAGAACGAAAATCACGGATGACTGATTTATGACGTCACGTAAAGAATCAGAAGCGCTGAATGTAGCTAGGAGATCAATATTTTATAGCAACACCGATGAGTTATAACAGTCTTTATATATATATAACTTAATACTGAGTTCCATAACGGCTTAACCATGAGAGATGGGACTAACGGCACCCACTAACAATATCGCAAAGAGTGAAGATGTCATCCATCACTTTTACAATTCTTCAGAATTGATAATTGAAATTTACTCGTCAATTTCACACTATTTAAGCGTCATCCCAGCATTATTGCCTTTCTTTTGTAGAGGAATTCTAATTCTGATTTCCTTCCACACCTGAGTATTTTGAAAATTTTAAAGTTTTCATTTTTATTCAATTTCGCTTTCTGAAGCATCTCGTTGAATTATTCGATTCAATGCCAGTTCACTTCGTTGTATTTCTAATAACGTTGGCTAGGGGAAAAGCATAGTTTGTTTTCATATATAACACTGTATATATGATGTGAACAGAAGCACTGTCTTCATGAATAAAACAAAATGGTTGTCCGAAATGCTTGAAAAAAGAACAGTTTATGGGGAAAAAAATGCACAATAACAGTGAGCAGTAGTAGCAGCACGGCTTGTACAATCACCGAACACCTGTTGCATGGAATGACGAAGAATCCTGAAATTCATCATTATTATGCAAGCTACCTATATTTGATATAAATCCTAATTAAAAATATTCGGATTTCAAATAGTGCATGTTACACAAAAATATCACGTAATATGCCTTTTGGTCATAGTTGCTTCAAAAAATCATTTTTCATTTCCAAAACACAGAAGTACGTAAACCTCAAATGGTCAAAAAAAGAATTTAAATGATAATATACTATGCATACCACGAGAAATGCTTCTATACTTCCAATTTTCAATTATTTTCCTAGAAATATATTTAATTTGAAGCGGCATGTATTACCGCTAATATTACATTATACAAGATCAATATTTATGTGCAGTACACTCCTTTCCTTCCAAATTTTCGAAATCAAATATCAACTTCAAGTAAAGTGTGAAGTGCTGCAGCAGGAACCATTTAGATAGGACCATTTACTTAATAATTGAAAAGATATCGGACGTTTTGAAATATTTCAAACATGGAATTCCCCTACATAAAGTGACCTTGCATACTGTAGTATTAACATCACATTGGCAAATAAATATTTCGCCAACAACTTATAGAATTCTAAAAGTATTTCCGAAGTTCATTCTCTTGTCTTTCTCGAAATGTTCGAAGTAGAAATTGAAACTTGAAAGGTGGTACACCCATCTGTAAATCCCAAGTATTCAGACTATTGATTCAGAAAAATTTTGCAGCTTACTAAACGATGTCGAGAAAGAATGAGAAATAATACTTGACCAGTACGGTACCTGTTGAGCGAAATTTCGAAGTATAGGTCTTGGCTGTTTTTGGACGTCGTTTCTTTTCTTTCCTTTCCTCACCCAATTTCTCGAACATGTTGAATTCATTAAGCTTATTAGACGCAATTTTGGTTGATTCACTTAATTTTTCTGCTTTTTCTACTTTACTTTTGGATGATGAAGCTTTCATGAACTTTTCGGCCTTGGCAGATGTAGCATCTGATTTTTCAGAACTTTCGGTGTTTGGAGACTTTTTACAAGATTCCATTTTATTTTCAGAAGCATCTTTTTGCTTACTCCCATCTGATTCCGCTTCTCTCTCAACAATTTTCGTAGAATCCAGATTATCTTTCTTGACCTTTGCCTTGCTGATATCCCCGGATGCCGGATGAGGTGTTTTACGCTTTGCAGAACCAACTTTTTTCAATTCTTCAGGTCTTTGATGAGATGGCGCTGATACTAAACGTTTCCACCGCATCACCAAATCACCCGATATTTTGCGTACATCTGAAAAAAAAAAATTTGTAAAGAAGTATGGATGGGCTTGTGATCTTTGCAAATGTAAAGTAGATACAAAGTAAAGAAAAAAGCAAAAATCACACAATAAAGCTTCCTTTTCACAAAGCGTAGAGTTTGAACTAACCTTGATCAGGGCAAGATTTCGACAATTTACGCACAAATTTCGGAGTATCATTTGATTGCAACAACTCCAGCGTGAGATTTGCCTTAAACGGATCAGTTAAGTAAAATTGAAAGTGATCAGAAATTGACCTCAGAGTTATAACTGACCAAACGGAAGTAATCATTTGGCGGCGAAATTTGAAGAAGCATTAATGAAATCAACTCGCAACAAAAGAAAAAAATAAAGAGACAGAAAGCTTTGGCAAAATGAATGACCAATTTAAAAAAATTCAAACTTAATTCTATACAGTAGAATGCTAAATTTTAAAAAGTGATCACACATGGTATAATTATGATAAGCTGCTTAAGTAATCATGAAAGATAATGGACTAGTGAGATTACATATCACTAATAAGTCAAAGGCCAAGAACTCCACTGAAAAAATTCAGTTTCGTATCTAAATTAAGACAACTATAATTAGTTCAGAATTGAGAATGAAAGCAAATAACTATGCGAATCATGCAAAACTTGCCTGTGCGCACTGGCTCAGTAATAATTTCAAACGGCTCCAGTCTTCATTCGCTTCGGCAGTTTTCAACCACGACCCCATCTGCTTCCACCCAAGTGGTGTACTAAAACGTTGAATAGCAGCAACTTGTGCAGCCACTGTTGAACCGCTAAAACAAAACAGTTGTCAATTCACAGGAATAATAAATTCCTTTGAACACCAACAGGTAATTCTTCTTCCTCCTGAACCCCCGATTTTAACACTGTCCGACGAACCAATAAACAATCGAAACTACCATTTTTAATTCTTGATAAATTTACATAATAAATTCAAAATCAAAAACAAGGAATTTCCGAATACAAGATCGTTCACATGTCTTTTCAAGGTAAAAATAACTATTTACTTTGCTTTACCTTATTTTTTCACTTTCTCCATCATCTGATATCACTAATTTCTTCTTTGTTTTCGCTGCAATACCGCTGATACCAGAAGAGGATGGTTGCGAATCCTGTGAAAATTGCTGTTTTTGACGCTGAAATACATTATTTGTATTAATCGATACATTACAAGACAATGACATAATAAAGCGCAACAGGGAATATATGGAAACCACAGTACCAAAATCTCTTTTTACAATAACTAACCTTATCTTCCAGAGCTTTTGCAACAATTTCACGCGCCACAGCACGATAATTTTCATTAGATGAATTAATATCACCACCATCTCTTGGCATTCGACGAGCAGGACCCTCTTGCTGGCGCAAAAAAACATAACGTGGTTGAGCACTCTTCTCCATTACACGGTATAACTGGAAATGATGTATGTTCATAAATTTCCTGTTAAAAAGTGAGCCCTTCTTTCTTTTATCCCGCCATTTCCAGTTTCTCACCACCTCTCCAAGGGTATTTCTCCAACTTTTCCCATCAAATTTAAATAATAATGAAGTTGGTTACTTAAGCGATCACAGATGATTACGAGTTATGGGCATAGAAATACTATAGAAATGCGGGTTAGCTAAGTATTGTAAATATAGCTAAATATTCGTGGCTCTTCCATCTCTGTAATGAAATTACAGCCAAAACTGATTTTGATGATGCCTGTCATCCACTCACTTTAATCC